TTGAGTATTGAAGAGATCAATATAATTCTGTTTTGATGTCTGAAAGCTCATTGAAGGTAAGGATCATATTTTTAGCTGTATTCTTACCTTGTAGCACAGCAGACATTTAATACATATTGAATGAACTTATAGCCTTACCTTGACTTGGTTATAACAGCTTAAAGTTAAACTTTTTTACTATTTGTTTATGGATTGATTGAGATAGGATCTCTCTCTGCTGCCTATGCTAGGGTTCAGAGTTACCACTATAGCCCACTATAACCTCAAACACCCGGGCTGAAGCAGTTCACCTGCCTTAGCCTGCCAAGGAGTTGGACCTACAGGGGTGCACCACCATGCCCAGCTAATTTTTCTAGTTTTTGTAAAGAGGAGGTATGGCCCTTGCTCAGGCTGGTCTTGATCTTGGGGTCGACTAATTCTCCTGCCTTGGCCTACCAAAGTGTTAGGATTGCAAGCATAAACCACCCAACCCAGGCACAATATTTTTAAACAACTCATTGAGTCTCACTTATTCTCTCTTTTTTTCCCTACCCATCTAGTCTGGAGTTGATCAAAGAACCTGTTTCGACAAAGTGTGACCACATATTTTGCAAGTAAGTTTGAAAATTTTATGTGGCTCTATTATTAGCTTTTCTGTTTATTCTTCATCACATAGGAAATACCCAGGTTTACAGAAGCTTCGTCAATTAAGTGACAAGGAAAAATCCAACTCTATTTCATTCTGTCTCACAGAATACTTATAGAATCATCATAAGTTTGTTGTCGGCATAGTTCCTGGTAATGTTTTGACCTTTCCAGTGGGATGTAAAATGACTTCGAACAACTATTTGTTTTTTCCCCCCAGGTGAAAGCAGACTTCAAGTGACTGTCGAATAAGCAAATTGTGTTAACCTTTCCAATTTCTTCCTTCTATTCGTTTTTGCATGTCTTCCTGCTTTCCCTCTTACTAAGTTCAGTTTGCCTGCTTCATAATCCTTGTGAAGATAAGGAAAGATCTGATATCCGGGGTTTTGTTTATTTGTTTGTTTGTTTTTGAAACAGGGTCTTGCTCTGCTGTCCAGGCCAGATTGTGATGGCACAATCATAGATCACTATACTCTCTTCAAACTCCTGGGCTCGGATGATCCTCCTGCCTCAGCCTCTGAAGTAGCTAAGATTATAGGCTTGCACCACCATTCCTGGCTAACTTTTTTTTTTTTTTTTTTTTTTTTTTTTTGAGACAGAGCCTCAAGCTGTCCCCCTGGGTAGAGTGCCATGGCATCACGCTCACAGCAACCTCCAACTCCAGGGCTCAAGCGAGTCTCCTGCCTCCGCCTCCCAAGTAGCTGGGACCACAGGCGCCCGCCACAGCGCCCGGCTATTTTTTGGTTGCAGCCGTCATTGTTGTTTGGCGGGTCCGGGCTGGGGATTCGAACCCGCCACCTTAGGTGTACGTGGCTGGCGCCTTAGCCGGTTGAGCTATAGGCGCCGAGCCCTGGCTAACTTTTTTGTTGTTGAAACAGAGTCTTACTCTATTGCCCTGGCTAGAGTGCTATGGCATCATAGTTCACAGCAACCTCAAACTCCTGGGCTCAGATGATCTTCTTGTCTCATCCTCCCAAGTAGTTGCAACTACAGGTGCTGGCCATGATGCCCAGCTACTTTTTTTCTATTTTTAGCAGAGATAGGGTCTTGCTTTTGCTCAGGCTGGTCTCCAACTCCTGAGCTCAAGTAACATACCTGCTTCAACCTCCCAGAGTGCTAGGATTGTAGGCATTAGCCACCATACCTGGCTAATTATTTTCTTTTCTTTTTTTTTTTTTGAGACAGGGTTTCAAGCTGTCACCCTAGGTAGAGTACCTTGGCGTCACAGCTCATAGCAACCTCAGACTCTTGGGCTCAAGCGATTCTCCCACCTCAGCCTCCCAAGTAGCTGGGACTACAGGCACTTTCCACAAACGCCCAGCTATTTTTCTTTTGTTGTTGCAGTTGTCGTTGTTTAGCAGGCCCGGGCTGGGTTTGAACCCACCAGCCTTGGTGTATGCAGCTGGTGCCCTATCTACTGAGCTACAGGTGCTACCTTTTTTTCTTTTTTTGAGACAGTCTCACATTGACACCCTGTCCTGACTGCCATGGTCTCATAGCTCACAGCAACCTCAAACTCTTGGGCTCAAGCAATCCTCTTGCCTCAGCCTCCCTAATAGCTGAGGCTACAGGTGACCAACACAATGTCCAGGTATTTTTAGAGGCAGGGATCTTACTCTTGCTCAGGCTGGTCTCGAACTCCTAAGCTCAGGCAATCCACCCACTTTAGCCTCCCAGAGTACTACAGTTAAAGGCATAAGCCACCACATCTGACTTTTGGCTGATTTTTAAAAAATTTTTTGTGTGCAAGTGGATTAGAGAGGGTCTCATTATGTAGCCTAGACACATCTTGATTTCCTGGTCTCAAGTAATCCTTCTGCCTCAGCCTCTGAAATTGCCGAGATTAAGGGTGTGAGCCATTGCACCCAGTCTAATTTTTCTGTTTTAATTGAAAAATCAAACCATATACCTAGTAATGAGTTTATTAACACAAAAAGATATATGATGCAAGGTTATTTCCCTCTCACCCCAGAACCCCTGTTTCTTTTCTTTTTTTTTTTTTTTTTTTGAGA